GTGTATCTCATGCCACAACCCTCTTTCAGAACCTGACCCCCCTCTCATGTTCCTCTTCACTGTGATGAGTATTCCTGCCCATCCAGCAACCCAAGCTGGAAACCTCAGTGTCTCCCTAGGTTCCTACTCCTTCACCTCTCACAAGCACTATAGCAGCCAGCCTCCAATATGGCCTCTACAGATTCTCGCCTCTTGGCATTCACATCCTTTTATAGCTACCCTCACACTGGATAAGACCCACTCATGTAACTCAGGGGTATTTTGAAAATGACAAGTGTAACTCCAAAAGCCAGGGCACTATAGTCATTGTGGTACTGCTCTATGTTCTCCTTGGGCTCCTTGCTTTCGGGAAGGCCAGATGCCACATTGGGAGGACACTCAAGTGGTGCCATGGAAAGGCCCTCATGTAAGGAACTTCTAGCCTTTTGTCAGACATCAATACCACCTTGCCAGCACATGAGGGACCACCCTAAAAGAGTTTCCTCCAGCTCTCAGGTGTTGGCATGGCAATAGCCTTGGCCAGAGTTTGACTATGACATCATTCCACAAGGGGCTCTGAGACAGAGCTTCCAGCCAAATACTTCTGAATTCTAGGCCAAGAAAACTGGGTGAGGTGCAAATGTTGATTGTTGCTTTATTACTGGAGTAATTTGCTTTACAGCAGCACATAGTTAGCAAAGTCATCTGTCTCTGCAGATGCCATTCCCCTAGCAGGCCTTGCATGCCCCTCTCACCCCAGCCTGTTGATCACAGCAGAAGTCTAGAATCTGGCTATCAATGTTCTCTCCTGAATTCCCATGCAGTGTCCACCTCAGCTACTTGCCTCTGCTCTGAGACCTCCCAACTCGTCTTCTTCTAAAGCCAGAGTAAAGTTTCTGAGACATAAATCTAATCATGTTTAAAATTTTGCCCTACTCCACATTTTATAGAATCCACATCACAGGTGCAGCAGACACCAACACGTAGCCCCATCTCTCTTCCCACTCTTACTTTTACTGAAGGCCACTCACTGTTATTTCAAGTCTTTGCCAAGCTCAGTTCCAAACCATCTTGCCTTTCCTGCTTCTTCCTCTGCCTTCTCATCTCTCTCTGAGCAGAGTCCCAACCCCAAAGAAAACACACAACTACCAAATGGTGCTGTCTCACCATACTTTGTTTCCAACAACAAAGCTTAAGGAAAAACAGAACTCTAACTCTGAAAGCTCTACTTCAGACAGAAATTACTTTCACTTCCTCTAAGGAGTTTGGCTTCCTTAGTAAAACTTTCTGCTAGGACTTCATAACTAAGTAGAGCAGAAATAGTTCAGATTTGTGGCACTCCAGGTTCTTGGGTTAGAAGGAATCTTGGATATCATCAAATCCTCTGCTATTCCAAATGAGATCTACAGAGCAACATGAGCATCATGTGGTGACTTGCTAGACTCAGGCCTCACCATACCTACTGAGTCACAAAGTGCATTGTCATAAAAGCACAAAAGACTCATACAAATTCAAGCTCAAGAAACCTTGGTCTAGTTAAAATCTCCATCCTGCTCTTGAGTTTCCTAAACACCTGTCAACACATGCAGCTCTTGAACACCCCTATACAGGGAGCACCCTATTTTCAAAGCTTCCCATTCCACCTTTAGTTTTGTCTACAAAGGTCCCTCAATGCAAGATTTCCATACTTTACTCCTGTCTCCATCTTTTCTACTTCTCATCTCTTACTTCCACCCTGTCATATACTTCAGGGACTCGAGTGCCATAGCCAGTACCCTTGGGATTCACCCAGCCCCAAATCCCATAGAAATCATACAAAAGATCAAGGGAGATATCATTTATGTAAATTTTACTGCCCATTTTCCACTAATCTTTCTGATTTGGGTTTTAGTGTTGTATTCGTTTGTCTTGGAGCTGTCAGAGTCATAGTCTTCCAGAAAAATACTGTGACAGAGCCACCTTGCACTTACAGGCCCGGGCCTAAGCCTCCCTTTTCTGGACATGTCTCCTACCAGGCATACATCTTGCAATGGTGCATCTGGATGCAGGAGTTGGTGTTTCTCTGGACAGAAACATGGACATGTCTGAGGCTCAGGACATCAACATAATTCCTCCTGCAGGGTAAGGAGAAGCTCTGTCCCAAGAGGATGACCACACAGTATCACAAACAACTTCTTTCCCTAGGAGAGCACTTTACACTTTGGATGCACACAGCAGGTCTTTGCCCAGTTGGTCTCATGCGAGCTGGGTTTGGTGAACTGGCAGGTATTGTGATGACAATTAAGATTAAAACTTAAATGGTGGCTTTGGAGTCAGAGCTGGACCATGCTACATCAAATATGTTTTCAGAAGCATAGTTATGGCATCTTATTGTGATGTGAGAACTGTGTAGCCCCTGCACGCACCCCTGCAGTTGAGGAGATGAATGGAACTGAGCAACAGAAGAAAACCAGGACATGCATGACTCAAAAGGCACCAACAGCCTTATGTCCTCCAGAAAGAGACCAGGACTAGCTCAGCTGTAAGTCCAAGTCCCAGGGTTGGCTGTGATGGGACCTTGGACCCAGCTCTACCCACCTACCAAGAGCACTCTACACCCTCAGAGGAAAGAAAGGACATGGGCCTCATGCCTTTCATAGGCTAAACCTAAACCCCTTTCCTGTGCCTTGCTCCTTCCTGTGCTCCTCCTCGACTTCAGGGAGTCAGAGGCTTGGGTAAGAAAGATCTTTCTTGAACAACCCAGTACAGAGTCAATTCACGCACATGACAATCCATCCAGCTTCTAATACAGTCTTCTCTGCCTCTTCTCTGCTGCTGTTGCTGCATCTGCACCTCCCTCCCCAAAAGACCATGGCTCCCCTGCATTCCACACCTTTACCCCACTGAAGTCCCTTGCATGCTGTATAGTGTTCATCTTCTTATTGTCTACCAGCATCCCCCTACTCCTGAAGCCAGGTCCCAAATCATTCTGTCCATCCAGGGGAAATGTTGCAGCTCAATATGTTAGAAAGAGCATGTAATCCAGGGTCCATACCTGGCTCTGTAATAACCAAGGTAATTTTAGACAAATGCTCTGCCTGTACCTTTGACACAGTTGCTTTAATGATGACAGAGGCCACTGCTCCTCAAGATATCAGGGTAGCACTGAATGCTCTTCCTCATTTACCATGCAGTTTGGAGTCCTGGAAAGCTGCTAGTTGGGAGTAGAAAGTGGCAGCTTTGCCAAGAACAACCTCTTGCCCAGACTTGTAAGCCAGAGCCCAGCTCTACACCTGCTCTCTTTTCTGTCCCCTGAAGGCAGGCAATAGACTGGGTAACTTTGGGAGTTCTTTATACAAGCAGGAACTGTGATCCTCCATCTTTCATCTGTAAAATGTAAGTAACCAGTCACTCACTTCAAGTCCTTTGGTCAGACAATGCATGAGAGTATTTTGTGATCTGTAAAATGACACATACAATCAGAAAGTGTCAATTCACACCATTACTTTCTCCACCCATGACCATGATAGGCATTACTAATTGATTGTGTTGTTGTTTTCCTTAGGATCTAGATACAACCTTACGATCACAGTCCAATGATTACCATTAGAGTCCCTTATTATTTTCGAAAGACACCAGTGAATGCTTAAGGCTTACTCCTAGTGGCCTGATTCAGATCTCAGTATTTTTAAAGGTACCTAAGTCATTTTTCAGCATGTATAGAGAACCACTGCTCTTAGCAACCACCACCATGTAACCATGTCAGTTTGGAAAAGATGTCATAATGGCCATGCTTCCTGCCATACTTATTGCCATCAGTTTTCTCTTTCTCCAGAGTCCTGGATTATTATCCAGCCGTTTCAAGGCTTGTGAAGCTCTCTTGCAAGGCCCCTGCCTTGGATTCCATGTATGGCTCCTGACTGTTTCCTGTGGGAGATTCTACTCAGTTTCTGCAGCTTTAGGGAATGGAGCGAGGACCCAGGATAACCCTATCTAACCGAGAAGTCCGTGTGAGCCATGGAGCATAAGAGGATTGTGCAAGAATTCCTCATTCCTTCTCCAAATCTGGGCAATAAAACAGCAGCACCCAAAGAACTTCCACCTCTAAATTTGAGAATACAGTGATTTCTTTAAGCTTCTTGACTTGGATATCCTTCCTGCCATCCCACTTCACACCTTACTGCTAGAAAGGGAACAGGGTGGCAGAGGCAGCAAGCATATGTGGGCCTTCACTGAGGAGATGGGACCTGCTGGCTGTAGAGTCTCTGCCTGTCCCTCCTTTCCCTCCATGCCCTCTGCAACCAGAAACAGCAGTCTGGAGAATCCTTCTTCCCCATCCCCTTTACACTGCTCCTGCCCACATGGTGGGACTGGCTATCATGATAGTTTTCTCTTGAGGCAACAGGGGCGTGTCTCAGGAGGTACCAACTGTACAATCACTGAAAGTCAGTCTGCTCTGACCCTAAAGAGGGCCCAAACTCACTTTACCTCGCTCCAGTTTTGTCCTCTAAGACCTGGCTATCCACCTTCTTTTTCAGCTCAGGAGCTTAGGGTGTGGGACTTCCACAGACTTTAGCCACTTCTGCTGACTCCCAGGAGCCCATGCAGAGAGAAAAGGATAGGGAAAAGTCAGATAATCACCAGGAAGGAGCCATCCTAGAAAGAGGACAGGTCCTTGTCAGGAGCATGGTCATTTCTGTCCATCAAAAGCCACAAAGCAAGGCTGTGTGCATTCTCTTGTCTCCCTCTTCTCCTTCCCAGCATCCCTAACTATGCTCCCCACCCCATTGCCTGCTATCCCAACAAGACTCTCTCCCTCCATACAGTCACAGGTGCTCAGAGCTTGTTCATCTGATCTACAGAGAAAACTGAGCTGGAAATACTGGCTGTATGGGCAGTATCCAGTGGTGCACTTGAGTGTGTCATGTTTGTGTCATATGTGTTCATGTGTGTGTATCTGTGTGGTGCATGTGTGTGCATGCTGATGTGAGCATCTGAATTTTGGTACATATGCACACTTTTAATACACAGAGACCAAGCCATGAGATCGTGCTGTTTATTGAGAATGCAACAGGTAGGGTTTTGAAGAACACAGGGGAAGTAAACAGTGTCCCTCTTCTGAGTTTCTGGGTGCAGAAGAGTGAAGAGAGAGACTTAGAGCTGTGCTTAGTCCCACTCAGAATGAGCCATGATGCTGTGTCAAGGTGGGATGGGCCTGGGTCACTCTTGCCCAGAGGTCCTTCAGTCTTCCTTCTAACATAATGCCAGCCCCCAGCAGAAGCAGGAGCTGAGGGGAAGGTCCAGCATATGGGGGGCATCAGTCTGAGGCCCTGGGAGCCCAGCAGCATAAATGAGGACTGAGACGGGGCTGGCAGAGGACAAGCTGAAGCCGGGTTGAGCTGTCTATGTGGCTAGGGGACCACAGCTAAGGAGGTGATCCCATAGGGTATGCTGGGAAGTGTTGCACCAGGCACAATGGTCTGCACCCGTCCAGGCTCAGAAGACCCAGACAGGAGAAATGAGTTGGCATCCAAAGGGAGGGGGTCACAGGTAGGACCAGCAGGGTAGAGATGGGACTGCTAGTGTGGATGGGGTACAGAGCTAGGGTCCTAGGGTAAGGAAGGGCATGGACAGCCCTCTCTATCGACTGCCTTTCTTGGAGGAGGTGCTTGGGCTGGAGCCTTTCCCCAGAGTATCCTTGTAATCACTGGCACTGCTCCGGTTCCTGCCTTCTCCACCGCGGACGCTGCACACACCAGAGATGCAGCTGGTGCTGTTAGCTACATAGCCACCACTGACAGTGTTGGGACGTAAGCCACTGCTGCCACTGGTGCTGCTGATGATAGCTGTGAGGGGAAAGCTGGGGTCAGAATTCACTCAGGCACAGATGAAACTCGTTTCCCTTCCCCAAGATAGATAGGGTTCTTTGTGGGCCCTTGGGGAGAATAGCCCAAAGACATCTTTCCTCATATCCTACCCTTAGCTTCTTCAACTTTTACCCAGTCTGACTGAGTCATGCCATTAATGCTCAGAGGCCCATCTCCCTGATCCAGGTACCCACTGAATTTCTGGACACCCATGCATGTCCTCCTTATAGGAACTTCTTTGTTGAACTCCCAGACTCCAGCCTCTTCCTAGAACAAGCTTCCCCCCCACAAACCACAGTGTTCTGGCTAACTCTTTTTGCCCTGCTGAGAAACCCAAAGATTTGATGCTTGGCTTGATTGATCTCTGAGATCCTCCATTCTGTAATTACCAAACCCAAGTCTTTTTGCAACTTGCAAACTCAGCTTTTCAAGCCTCACACAGGCCCATTTTCTTAGAAAATATTCTTTGTTTCCTCAATCCCAATGTCAATATCTATCCCTTTGGGAACAGGAGATGCTGAGGACAAAGACACTTTGTGATCCCAGGCAAAATTTTTCCTCCTCTAGTTCTTAGATTCCCTCATCTATACTTGGAGTGTAGCAAAGATCACATCCCACTTGCAGATTCTACAATTTTAGATCAAAGCACACAAGTACTTACAGATGCTGACAGGGGAAGGATATTCGCCTGACATCCTATTAAAGAGAGAGATAAAATAAGACACAGTAGCTATCCAATCCACAGTCTCTTCAAAGATATTATCCCACTAGCCCAATGAGTGTTTCTGATCCCAATGAACACCTCTAGAAACTCCAAGCTTTCTTTTAGGGGCCACTCTTGAATTTCTGTGGGTAACAAGGTAACAACCTCAGTAAAACAGTATCTTCCAGGTGGTACACATGGAACACTAAACCAGACCTAATTACCCAGCCTCTCCATCTCCTAATCTCTTTGGGGAAGACAGAGTAGCTGCCCCAACACATTTCTGACAAGCTCCCAAGGAGCCTAGACAGATAAGAAAGTTGGAAGAAGCATAATAGAGGAATGAGGTTTTGGAGGCCAAAACATATCACATAGCATCTCAGAGGCTGGGTTGATACATGCACTCGCAGTGAGAGTGACTACTCATATCTACTCCTGGCTGGTACCATCAATTATTATTGTCTGCAGCCCACCACTCATCGCTCCCCAACAATTTATTTTTTCTGGATAAGGATAGGTTTCGTTTTCTCATTTGGTTCTTGCTATGCTGCTGGGGGCCTCCTGTTTAAGCACAGCCAGCCCACCTGCATTCCTCGCTCTCCAGCAGCTTGCGGTAGGTGGCAATCTCCATGTCCAGGGCCAGCTTTAAGCTCATGAGCTCCTGGTATTCCCGCATCATCCGGGCCAGCTCATCCTTGGCCTGGTGCAGGGCACTCTCGAGCTCATCCAGTTTGGCCCGGGCATCCTTGAGTGCATTGTCTCCTCGCTGCTCAGCATCAGCAATGGCTGTTTCTAGGTTAGAAGCCTGAATAAAGAATTACAGAAGTTAGAAAACTGAAAGAAGTCACTGGCTTCATCTGTATGCAAACCTTTAAGATGCCAGGGCAGAAATGCCCCCCATTCCCCCCACCCAATGCACATAATGTCACTGCTCTGGTTAAAGGGGTTGACAAGTTCTTTCTGAGCTCTATCTCCACACCTCATGGTCAGATGCTTGTGGTAATAAGAAATTATGCATCCTGCCCTCCCGAGAGCAGAGCCAATGGAGCATCACTTCAGTTCAGTGCAGAGACATTTACTGAACCACTCTGTGCCCAGAGAGTGAAACGAGCACTAAGATCGTGTTTCTGTTCTTGTGTGTTAAATTCCAAAGGAGACATTTGCTATGGCATGATAGGGGCAATGGCAACAGTTGTCCAGGTGTGTGGGCCCACAAACCAGGAGCATGGGAAGGAGAATCCCCAAGAGCAACTGTTATTTGCCAAGTGTTTGTTGAATGCTCAACATTAACTCAGTACTGTCCATTCCATTTACAACTTCAGCTCATTACCTCCTGTGTGGTGAAAATGAGTGACTTATTTAGGGTCACAGAACTACCAAGTGGTAAAGCCCATGGGAAACTGGAGACAACATGGGACAGAAGGACCAGTGTCCAGGTCAAGATCTTGGTTCAAAAAACAGCTCTACCATTTCCCAGTTCTGCAATTCACTTACCCACTGATCCTCAGTTTCCTCATCTCCAACCATGAGGATGGTAACTGTTGCCTCTTAGGGTCTTTGTGAGGATTAAATATGGTAAAACAATAGGCACTACTGCTATTTTATTATATATGTCCCTCTTGTGTACCTGCCTGCTAACACTAAGGCTGTCTCCTATATTCCTGGGAGTAGACCCCAATAAATCCCTAGAATGCTTTAACAGGTTCTCCCTGAGCCCATTTCTCCTTCTCAATCATTACATTAAATGTTTATCAAATTGCTACTCTGAGCAGGTACTGTTCTAGAATCCAGGCAGGCATAAAACAGTCAGCTCACTGTCCCTTTCAGTCTAATGGAGGTAGGAGAGAGATAGGTTCTGTGAAATTTCAGAAAGTATGACATGTATCAGAAAACACAAATGCCTGGCAAACACACAGCTGTAGAGAAGGTGCCAGCCCACTCTGTGGGGCAAGAGGAGGATCCCAAAGAGTGGGTGCTTCAAACTCAAGGTGCTTGGCATGAGGAGGAAAGGAAGTGCCCCAAAGACAGCCTGCTGCTAGGGTGAGGAGTAATCTCCTTAGCCTCCTCTCCTCTTGTGGTAGGTATCAGGCTGGCTTTCTTTCAACTCATCTGCCTTGCAGTCCTCTCCACCTGCCCTTAGTCCCAGTCAAGTTCCCTTACCTGTTTCTTGGCATTCTCAATCTCTGAGCGGAGCCTCTGGATCAGCCGGGTGAGCTCTGTGATCTCATTCTTGGTGTTTTTGAGGTCATCTCCATGCCGGCCAGCTGCCAGCTGCAGCTCCTGGAACTGGAGACCCCAAACACAAAGCCATGGATGAACATGGAGAATAAGTCATGAGAGTACATGAAACTTCCATGTTGCTGATGTCATGGGATCATTCAACTGGACACTGCCTCTATTTTGGTACATGAAACCCAGCCCACATGCCAGTTGGCATCATCCCCAGTTCAGCCTCAGCTCTGCTCACCTTGGTCTGGTACAGAGCCTCAGCCTCAGCCTTGCTCTTCAGGGCAATCTCCTCATACTGAGTGCGGACCTCATCAATGATGCTGTCCAGGTCCAGATTCCGGTTGTTGTCCATGGACAGGATGACAGACATGTCACTGATGTGGGACTGAATCTCAGAAAGCTCCTACAAGGGAAATGGAGGTGTTCTCTCAGCTTGACCATTGTCAAAGGCTGATGACCTCACCCAAGAAAGATGAGCAAATTCTAGTAATGCCAATCTTGGCCTGAAACCCATAACTGTCACCTCCCTGGACAAGTTTCTTGCTGTGTCTCAGACAGATTCTCACTGCCATGGAGTGGGGCCTGCCCCCTCCCTTCTCACTCAGAGCTTGGAGATTGAAGAGCCTCACAGGGCTGAAACAGGAGATGGAGGCCTTCTGTGTCTCTCCCAGGCCCCACAAAAGAGTACTGGCTGGCTTCCCCTGGAAGAATAGACTGAAGATTCTTACTTACAATTTCATAGAGACCCTTCAAGAACTTAATCTCCTCGTCCATGGAGTCCACCTTGGCCTGCAACTCCACCTTATTGGCATAAGCAGCATCCACATCCTAAAAGATGCCCAAGCAAACCCCAGTCACTTGTGGTGGAACCAGAAATGTAGCATCTACCCCAGCCTTGTCAGCTTGCTCAGAGAAGTAGACACCCTCTTTTCCTTGTGCAGCCAAAGAAGATGGAGGAGCTAAAATCCAATCCCTTTCCTCTAGCTTATCCTGAGAACCTGCTCTATCACCAGCAATGGGATGCCCCTCTCAGAAGACAGCTCTACCCAGGTTACTATCAAAGACAGCCCAGCGATGTCTGAACCAGGTTCCCTGGATGCAAGGAAGCTCCTTCATGTTAAGTTCCTTTCATTGCTTCTCTTTGGAAGCCTTTCATCACTATTTATGCCTTCCTTCACTGTTTCTATTTTTTTTTCCTTCACTGTTTCTGCATCCACTCACTGTGGGACTGGTGGCAGAGTACACTAGTTCCCTCAGTCCCTGGAACCAGCCAGTCCCTGTACTCAAGGCTGCTCTCCCCTCACCTTCTTGAGCAGCACAAATTCATTTTCTGCAGCGGTCCGTCTGTTGATCTCCTCTTCATACCTGTGAAAAAGCCAGGACCCATTGGCTCAGCCCTTTCACCAAAGCCCTTGTTTCTCAGAGTGAGCAGCAGCATGCAAGTGAGAGGCACAAAGGACTGGGGACTACAGAGCCCTGGGCAGTGGGGCCATCCAGGCAAGGAAGGGTTGGGGACATGGATCAAGTTCAAGAGAAAGGGACTGTTGAAGATCTTCCTTAGGGAATGAAAAAGAAGTATGTGGAGCGAGAGGCCCCTGGGAAATCTCAGAGGAAGTGAGTTTTCCTTTTCCCCTTCCAACTTGAAGAAAGCATCAGATGTGATGGAATGTTCCCCACATATGTCCTCAGTCACTCCCAGGCTAGTCTGGGAGGTGAGCAGACTGAACCTGTGCTTCACTCAGAAGCTCTATTAAATGTGAGAGACTTAACTACGGTTTCTCTCACCAAGAGCCAGAGATATTCCTCTGACCACTTCTCAGCTAGCTGAACATGTGTCCTGAGTGACAGGTGAGTAGGTCAAGAGCAGGGAGCATCTCCCAGACCTGTTAGCATGAGTCTACTTAGTGTGACTGTTCCTCTTCTCCAGAAATTTTAAACTGAAGTAACTGCGAGGGTCCCTTAGAGGTGTCCAATAACAGGGTGGACTCCTCACTCACCTCTTCTTGTAGTCCTCCACCACATCACGCACATTCCTCAGCTCTGAGTCCAGCCTCACTTTGTCTCCAGACAGCGTCTCCAGCTGCTTCCGCAAGTTGCTGATGTAACCTTCATGAATGGGCTCCAGGTTGTTCTTGCAGTTGTTCAGGTCCAGTTGCTGCAGCAGATCCCACTTGGTCTGCAGCACCTGGTTCTGCTGCTCCAGGAAGCGCACCTGGAACCCAGAGCCCAGTTACAGTTGAGCCCCCAGATAGTTGCACCTGGATCAAGGTCATTGTGCAAATGTTATGCCTTCCTGATTTCCCTAGCCTCTCAGACAGCTAGCTGCATGTAGCAGGAGAAATTAACCCTGCTCAATGGAAAGAAAACAGGCATGGAAAAGTGTCACCTCTTTCCAAGACTTAATAAGTGATGGAGCCCAGAACTGAACCACACATGTGTTCCTGTACCTCATGCATCCAATTACCATAGCCACCATGGCCAAACCAGTGCAAGGGATGAGGTTGCCTGGAAGCACCATGGTGGAGCCAAACCAGGTCCATCTTTTTAGAAATGTGACTGTTACACGGCATGTCAAAAATGATGAGGCCTGAGTCTGGAACTTTTGAATATTTTCAATTCCTGTGCCAGGCCCAAAGTCCATTTTGCTCACAGCCTCTCCCTTCCTCTTCTGTCCAACTTCTCCAGAGCAGGCATGGCATGTGCAGAAGATGGTGAGGGGCTCCCACTGAATCAGGAAGTTCACTCCAGGGGGCCAATCTTTGTGTACCTCTCTTGTCTGATTTGGAGAGTGCCTAAAATGTGACCTTTTAAAACCTATGTGAATATGGTGACTTTTCAATAAGTTTTGTTCTCCAAAATCAGAAAACACAGAGCATGGGAACACTGTGTAAGATTCAGCATTGAGACAGGATTATCCACCAGCAGATCATCCAGCCCTTGGTTTGATATAACTGATCCCAAAGCCTTTATACATGCCCTTGAGCATGAAGTAAACCACAGTATATTTTTGCACCACTGGACCCTTTTGAATGGCCGACAGATTCACTGTCTTCTCTAGCTACCTGGGGTTAAGGGATTGTACTTGTCCTGAGACTAAAATCACTAAGAAACAGTCCAGGATTTTCACCTCCTCCCCTATCCCTCTGGGCAGACTACCTCTGTAAACAAATCTGTCTTTGTGTCCATTTTTTTGCCACATCTCCCAGATATCCTCCTCTTTGTAGGTTCTGACCAGTGCAGCCAAGTCAGTCCACTCCCTCTTCCTGGGCCATATCCTTAGAACATCTTGATCTTCCACATGTGACATGGCTGGAGGACTAAGAATCTGTAGAGACATCCCTGGCCTCTGAGCCTGAGCAGAAGGCTGGAGGCTATCCTCTGGGTAAGAAGGCCAGAGCTGCAGGGGCAAGCTCATCTCTGACGTCTCATGGGCCAGGCTTTGTCCTGCACTGATCTGTCCATGATACCTGACCATGGCTGAACCAACAGAGCCCTGTACTCTCCTCCCCTGAAGGCACGAGACTGAAGATCTAGCCCTCTTTTCTTGTCTTCCTAATAGCCTTGGGCCAACACTGGCCTCCTGTCTTTGCTGACTCATAAAGTAGGACCAATCATTTCTTCTCTACCTCAGACTGGGAGTTTATCTTGGTTAGAAGATCTTGCACTCATCTAAACTCATGATTCCTCTCCTTTTCAGCACCCCTCCCCTGGCTTCTAGAGATAAAAAGATAGTAACAAGAACCACCAGTATTTAGTAGTTGTTATGCATTGTGCCAAGACCTTCACATGCTTCTTCTTTTCTAAACCTAATAAACTCCAGAAGGTAGATTACTATCACCATATAGAGATGAGGCAATAGAGGCTCAGATAAGTTAATTTCACAAAGCCATATAGCTGGTCAGTATTAAGGCCATGACTGAGATTAATTCAGACTTTAGAGTGCTATGAAAGCCTCTTCCCCCCAGCACTCTTCTGCCTCTCAAGTAAATCCCTAACCAGTTGAAAGACTCATGGCAGGGACACCAGGGAATCTACAGGTGATGACATGACAATGCTGTTCATGCACCAGCTGAGTAACTAGCAGAGAAGGCCAGTATGTATGAGAGGTCAGGCTTCTCTACCTATTCTGGGGCAGGTTCTCTCTCACTGGTCTTCACTGCATACAGTCTAAGGTTCCCTGGATTTAACAATGGCACCACACTGGCGTTCAACAATAAAAACCAGATCTCTTCACTTTGGATTTCTGACTGATTTCCTAATAAGTCTCTGCCAGTATGAATTAAGCCTACCTTCATTATCTCTCTAGGAAGAGGACACAGAGAATCTTACAAGGACCCTAGTGATAGAAAGTAGTTTCCTTGTCCACAAGAAGTCCTTGTATCTAACCTCAAGTCCCCCTACTCTAACAAACTCATATTCCAAGAAGAGAAAGGGGAGCTGTTTACAGGTTCCTCTGGTCCTACAAAACCCACCTTGTCGATGAAGGAGGCAAACTTGTTGTTCAGCGCCTTGATCTGCTCTCGCTCCTGGGCACGTACTTTCTGGATCTCAGGGTCAAGCTCCACATTGAGGGGAGCCAGGAGGCTCTCATTGACGGTGACCTGGTGGATGCCTCCAGGTGGGCACACGGTCTGGCACACAGGCCCCAGAGCCACGCTGCCGAAGATGCTGCCTGCAAAGCCACTGGGCCGATTGCGGCCAAATCCAAAACCGCCGCTCTTTCCGCTGCCACTGGCCACGTTGAGGGAGATGCTCCGGGCACCTCCCAGGCTGTAGAGGCTCCTACTGCCAAAGCCTCCATTCAACCCTTTACCCCCTGCACGGTAGGAGGATGAGCTGCCTCCAGAGAGCACTGCAGAACAGCCGCTGAAGCCTCCCTTGGCAACAGCTCCTGGCTTGCAGGTGAACTGGCGGCTCATGGTGCTGGTGGAGATGGAGCTTAGGTGCAAGAGAAGGAAGGCAAAATCCCACAAAGGCTCTGCTGGCTGCAGGGAGGACTGACAGGTGCCTTTATATGTGCATGGTACTGGGCTTGAGGATGGGCAGTCAAGAGCTTAATTCGTGGGTTTGGCTTGCCTGGGAGCAAGAAGTCATTTTCTCTGTGCTGAGCTAGATGTCAGGCCTCCCCACCTCTGAAACAACATGAAACCTTCAAATTGCTGGGCTTGCATGCCTTGCTCATGTAATTTGGGTCTTATCTAATTAACCTGCTGTTATAGGGTAATTTGCCCCCGGCCTCAGCTCTCTGGGGGGATGTCATGGCACATCACCATCTTGGTCCTGATTAATCTCTGGGTTGTTGGCTTCCTGCCAGGGCTCAGGAAGTGATCCTGACTTCCTTGGTCAGGGTAGGCCACTGAGTGGAATATCTGGGGCCTCCAGCCAGAGATGTATCCTCTTCTTTCCCAGAAAGGGGCAGACTGTTGAGGAAGTGGTACTCCTGGGCCTCCTAGAGACTTCATCCAAACCAGGTAGAAGCTTTCTCTGCTAGGGGATTAGAGGTGGAAGCACTCTGTCCTCGGGATGGGGCATGAGTAGACAGACCAGCATCAGCTATGGGCATGTGGCAAACCTGTGCTTCTGCTTGTTCTCTAGAGACCCAGATGTCCACACTTGATCTCTCTACAACACTTACATTAATATATTTGGGAGCTGTGGAGTGAAATGAGAGCTTCACAACCTGGAAAGAATGAGAAAAACAGAAGAGAACAGAGTTCAGTAGGGGCTCAACCACCCAGAGTACAAAGGAGACAAAGGTTGGGCCACAGCCTGGATTTCAAGAACAGATCCCTGAGTAGTCCATTTCGGTATTTATGTCTCTCCTTTAATGTATACCTGCAAGTGAGAGCTGAAGTTATCAGAGGACAGGAATCACCTGGCTTACCTTTAATTTAGAAGTTGCTATCAACATGAGGCCTAACTCCTGCATTACCTTCCCAGACCCAAAGGCAAGAAACAGAGACTGGCTGGGCCTCCCCATAACACCATTGCTTGGTGTATGTTCACGTTCAGGCCAGAAAGACTCCCCTTCCCCAAAGAGGTGAGTAATGAGCACGATGCCATCCTACTCTGGATAATGCTCACTGTCCTCTCCATCCCAGGTCACTGGCTGGGAACGGACACAGTCCCCCTGCATGATTGCCCTAGTCAACTCATGACTCTGTCTCTGGAGATTGCCTTATCTGGCCAAAGCCTCTGATGAGATGTAACTGTTGGCTGGGTAGGGCACAGGAAGGAGGAGAATCCAGAGACAGATTGGGTCAGGCTTTCTTTCCTTTTACTTAGGAGATTACTCTTCCTCTGCTTTCCTTCCCTGCTCCTTTCCATCTTCCATGCACCCCCTCTTCTCACCTTCTCTTGCTCTTTGGCCCTCATCATGCCTTCCTTACAAAGGTCTTTTGACCTCTGCTTACCTCCTTTAACCTTTGGCATGTCCTTGGCTATATGGAAGGACAGTGACCCTATAAACAGCTCCCATGGTTTCCTCTAAAGACCACATCACGTATCACCACATATCAACCTTTGTATGAATGATAGACCCGAACCCAAGGTTGCCTATACACATTTCCTTCTCTCCTTTATCTTTCTTGTCAACTTCTACTGAGTCCACATTGTGCCCAGTATCATGCCAATGCTGGTATAACATTAAAGACATTTCAGTGCTCTCAGAATGTGCTCCTGGAACAGCAAGCCTCCACCAATGGTTCTGTGTCTGTATTTCTCTGACATGCATAGCAAAGCCCCAGCCTAGCTGTCCTGTCTGCAGCTGCTGCCTCTGCCCCACCCAACAACCCCTTTCCTCACTGCTCCCCACTTGGTCAAGGACATCTCACCCAATAGCTTCATTTTTAACTACCTCTGACATTTACCAAGTTGTTCCCACTCATCCAGGACCTTTCTCTTCCCATCTTTCCCTACCCAAATCCCTCCGCTCAGCTGAAATCCTGCTGGAGACACTATCCTCTCTCCTCTGCCTCCTGGCTCCTCTATGTGTAAGATTGATATCTGTGGGTCAAATACTGTGTTCCTGGGGCCTGGGTAACGATTTGTGTGCCTATGGACACCAGCCTCTGTACCCTCCCCCCCAGGGATAGGGGAAGCATCTGAGCACCCCATCCCAGGGCAGGAGGACCAGAGGGCAAATGGTCCCTGGTTGGAGAAGCAGCCAGACATCAGATAGGGTGTGTGGGCCTATGTTTGTCTGAGTGGTATTAGGAGGAAACCTGAGTAAGGTAGCATAGCAAATTGATCCAAGATGCTGGACTAATGAAGGAGCCAGGGTTCCAAGTATTTGAATTCCACTCTGCCACTGCTTTGCTTAGCATCTGGGAGCCTCAGCATCCTCAGCATTACTAGGATTGGAGTAATGGGTCCTAATGCAAAAATGGTAACAATTATACATGTTTATCTATATAAAGTGTTCTCTGAGTATCTGATGCATACCCGATGTCCAACAGCTGTCATCATCAATGACTAAAAGTAGGGAGTAAAGCAGAATTTATCCAGTCCTTTGTCTCTCCTGCCTTCCTTTCCCATGGAGCATCTGGCTTAGCAAATAGTGGCATTAGATGCTGAAAACAGGGAAGAGATGGCATACTCACAGGCCCAAGACCTCAACTCAGACCATTCTTGATGCTGGAAAACCTCCCCATTAGAAATAGCAATTACAGCCACTGTCTAGCAGGTGCCTGCCAAGTACAAAACTAAGTAGGAAACACTTTATAAATATTATCTCATATCCACTGCTATTGATTTATTTATCAAATATTTATCAAACATCTGCCAAGTACTGACAAGGGCAATCTAAAGTTTCCTACCCTCTAAGAATTTAGTTTCTATGTCTTTGCTCTTGGCTTCCCTCCAAATACAAGTGTCCAAAGAAACAGCAGCTCATCAAGCTATTAACATCCTAGCACGAGTTAGTTAATCAGATACTGGCCATTAAAAACAAAACACCCAAGTGTTGTTGATGAGACTGATGACACAGGAAGAAGCTGTAGAGTTCTAGAACAATCACAGGAAGGGTGGGCCCAGGTGGGGCTCTAGTGCTGCAGGGGAGAACCCCAGGTGACCAAGGTCACAGAGGACCTGCCCTTCCCCTACTTTAAGATTTAGGGAGATTTGGGTGGCAAGAGACAGTGCCCCTGCATTGGAAGGCTTTTGATCTGGCAGAGAGACAACATGTGACTAACATGGTCCAGCTTTATGTGTAAGAACCGACTTCCGAGTAATGCTTGGTGTCTTAGTTACTTTTCTCATTCCTGAGACAAAGTACCCAGTGCCCAAAGCTAAGAGGGGAAAGGTTTATTTAGCTCACACTTTGTAGAGGTTTCAGTCCATAGTAAGCTTACTTCAAGGCAGGGTGGCATGGAAGACAGGCATCATAGGAAAGAGTTCATAGCAAGCAGAAGATACAAAGCAAGATACAAAGCAAGCCACGGGGCAAGATAAGCCTCTTTCTGTTGCTTATACTGTTTCTAGTCAACTGGAATTAGTGTGGTGACAAACCAATCAGTATACTGGTTTAACAATCACCCACCCTTAACCTTAGCACACTTAATCATAGCAATGAAACCATAAATCAATCACACTCTCTAGATTCAGCCACCTCTGAAAAAGTGCCACCTATGACAGCACGAGGCTTGGGGGACATCTAGTCCCAAACCATAATACCTGGTGGGCCCAGATGTCTTTGAACCACAGGTTTTCTCATCTGTGAAATGTTTGGGAGGAAGAGTTGTCAAATTAGAGAATCAAATCTCTAAGGTACCAAGAACATCTAGTTTGGACATTAAGGAAAGATAAAATGGCTTGTTAAATAAATTACATGTGTATGGTTCTTAGTTTTATAGCCAAAGGTTTTATATGGCTTGCATAAACAATTTGTAGTTTTCTTTGTATTTATGTTTCTATATCTGTGATGGCGGCCAGTTTGACATACAGCTCTGACATTTGTTATCCCTTTCAGGGTTCTTGGGTCTCCAAGAAGGCTGTAGCAAGAAAAGAACAAAAGCATTTAGTAAAATACAAGAGGATAATTGCTGGGTAAAAATGAAGGGAACTGCATAAAGAAGAGACAAGACTTGAAACATTAAATCCACAAGGGGGGTTTTGGATTCCAGTCTTTTGTGCAAAAAAATTCTTGAATAGACCGGTGGTAAGAAATAGGTAAGACGGCCCAGGATGGCAGTAGGTGAGTCATTAGTGAGGAAAAGACCCAATAGGTTGGAGCAATCATGTGTGAAATGTGATCACAGGTAGAAGGACCCTAGAGCCCAGGCTGTGCTGTGTGATAAGGCCAGTAACAGAGGGACACTGGGGGCTGTTGAGCCAGGAAGACCCTAAGTGATGTATTTCTGAGGAAGGAAAATCTAGCTGCTCTGCAGGTAGGACTGAGAGGTATAGAGAGGCTTGAGGCATTGAGAGGGGCAAGCAGTTCTCTCAGCAAAATAATTGTCTTCAAAATTAGAGAGAATGAGCTGGGCTATTTGGATGACATCAGCCCAGGTCCTGCCAGCTCTCCTCAGCAGATGGACCCAAGACATGAGCCAGTCCCTATGAGTATTTCAGAAGTCCAACCCCCCACAATACCAGCATGCTTCTGTCATTTCAAGTAGGCAGTGCCTCAGCCAAGCCAGCTGGGAGGACTTCAGCCCCTGGGGGAGCGTGGCCACAATCAGAGCCACTCAGTAGAAGGCAAGATAGCTTCTCAGCAAGTTTGCTTCTGACAAGGCCAAAAGTAAGCTCACCTCAAAAGATCTGGGATATAAAAGGCAGGGGACATTCTGCCGGGCACTCAGCTCTGATCCTATCCTGCCACAGCGCTGGCCGAAAAGCACCTGTTGGAATTCTCTCTGCTGGCCTAGCTCTGGAGCCAGGAGCGCTTTCTTTTAACTTTGCTGTCCATCACCTTCCTTCATGCCTCTGGGGAAGTGTGTGAATGAGGGACTCTGGGGACACAGGTCCTGGTCCTGCCTTGGTCATTCAGGAGCTGTGTGACCACGAGCAGGTCTCCTACTTTCCTGAGTCTCTGTTTCCACACCATCAGGTGAGGACATCAATAGTTGTTCCACCTACCCCCCAAAGTGGACAGAAGGCATTGTAAAAAGTAATGACAACCAGGACAATAACAGTAGCTAAATACTTAGGCAGGTTCCATCTGCCAGGCACTGTTCTAAGCACTTCCATGTGTTAGTTCATATCATCCCCACAACAGCCCAACAGTGAGTTTGGTACTATTGTTATCCTCACTTTACAGATGAAGACATTGAGGCCCAAAGAAGTTAAGCAACTCACTCAAGATTGCACAGCTAGTGACAGCTGAGAAGGTTTCAGACCCAGGGGCTCTTGACCTCAACACTATCCAGACTGTGATCATCAGTGTCCCTGCTCTGACACAGGTGCACACATCCCACGTTCACCTGCAACAGCCTCTGCTTCCAGTTATCTTCTGCTCTTCCCCACTAAACCTGAACCACACTCTGAAACACTGGACTTAACACTTTCTTTCCCCAGTGGGTTATCCCTCCAACCCAGTGCCTTTTCCCCTCTACTCAATGGTCTCATCTTCTCATATATTCAATACATTCGTCTTCAGTTACTGCTATGGAAAGGGGGGATGTAGTGCCCAAGTGAGGCAATTATTCATTGGTTCAACATCCCAGAGGCCACAAAGTAGAAGAGTTGGGCCTAATAGACTGTCTTTTTCCAAAGGCAGGAATGTGTGCAGGGTGATTCCTTGAGGTCACAGAACACATTTCAGTGAGATTTTCCTTACCAATAAACACAGATCAGTGTGAGTTTAAAACAAAAGGAGAATGAAGATGCTTAAAATCAGAAAATGGGAAGCTGACGGCCAACGGAGAGCCACAGGGAAGGGACATAGGAAAAGGTAGATGAGATTCCAGAATACAGGGCACAGACACTGGTTTTCTCCTCTTTTGCTTTCAGTGGTTCACTTGGTTTACCAAGCAGCCTCTCTGTGCCAGCTTCTGCCTCACACAAAGATAGAGGAAGGCACAGGCTGCCTTTGAGGACACCTCAGTCCATTGGAGAGGCCTAATATCACAGACTGTCAATTTGGATCAGTTCCAGATGGAGAGATTGTTTCAAAGCCAATCAGATTTTATGCTCACTTCAGCTAGTGGGTGAGACAGAGTGGATTTGGAGACTTCAGCAAGTGGATGCTGTGAATCCTGGTCCATGTCACTGAGCAGAGGCTGTGGCCCTTATAGCAGGAGGAAATGTCACAGTTTGCTGATTTCTGTTACTTCAAGTCAGCAATAGTCATCAAGGGCTATGACAGACATGTAGGGCTATTAATTTCTTACCATGACCAAAGCCCGACACATGGGTAGTTTAAAAAGCACTCAATTAGTGGATAGAACCTATGGTTGCCCTCAAGTGGGCAACCGAAAAGTGTCCACAGGGCTCGTCAACTCTTGGCCAGCTTCCTGGAGGATCTCAAGTCTGCCAAGATTGCCTTCAGCCTGTCAAACAGGGTATGTCTCTCCATCCTCTAGCTGCCTTTTCCTATCTTTATACCAAGTCACCACTTGCCAAATGATGAGCAAGGATGGCAGTAAAGCTCAGTGACACACTTTCTGTTTTCTATGCTGCACCCCCCAAATTTTTTTTGAGGTGGAGTTTACACAACGTGAAATTTACCATTTCAAAGTGAACAGTTTAGTGGTATTACTTAGTGCACCTACCACTATTGACTAATTTCAAAGCATTTTACCACCTGTAAAGGAAACACTGTGCCCATTGGCAGCATTCCCACACCCCTTCCCCAACACCTGCAACCAACAACTTGCATTCTGTGTGGATTTACCTAGACTGGCTATCCCATATAATGTGCTCATACAATATGTAATGTCTTTTGTTTAACTTCTATCACTTTGCAAAATGCTTTCAAGCTTCATCTATATACCATGAATCAAGACACCATTCCTTTTTATGGCTACATAATATTCTTTTGTAAATTTCTACTTATTACAACTTCTATTGCTATAGCATAAAAATAAACATAAGAGGAAAAGCCTTGCTTTGGCTCATTCTTTCAGTAGCTGCAGTGCACAGTCACTTGGCCCTGTTGCTTTGGGCCTGTGGCAACAGAGTATATCATGGCAGAGAACATGTCAGCATTATAGAAGGTCTACATTATACAGAGATGTTTTCCAAAGCCTCATACACTTATAGGTGGAATTTTCAGAGGTGGCTGGATCTAGGGTGTGTAAACATGGATTATGGATGTATGATAATTGGGTTAATCCACTGATGGGATAAACATAGTTCTGGCTGAGGCTAAATGGGTTTACTAAAGACAAAAGACCCACCCTGGGCGTGAGTGTCACCAACAAATAGGTTTGTCACCTGAATCAAATAAATGTAAAGGGAGAATTGTTGTGCCATTGCTTCCTGATTCCTGCTTGCCCTGCCATGGCCCATTTCTCCTCTCTCATGTACCTCTGACATGCCTCCCTGACTTGGAGACAGCTGATGAGTAACTGAAACATCTACACATCATGAGCTAAAATAAACCTTTCCAGGGTCATGGATTTAGCTCATTGGTAAAAGCACCTGCTTGGAAAGCATGAGGTCATGAGTTCAATCCCAAGTACCAAAAAAATTAAATAAATAAACAAAAATAAATCTTTCCTCCCTTAACTTGTGTGTTGGGTACTTTGTCTCAACAATGAAGGCATAGCTAAAACAGCCTACTCTCCTAACAGTGGCTGGGAAGTGAAAAGAGAAAGGAGTGACCAAGGACTTCAAGGACATTTGCCCAACGACCTAACTTCATTTCCATAGGCCCTACCTCCTAATGGCCCTACCACCTCCCAACAGCACCACAGACCAGTGACCAAGCCTTTAGCAACAGGCATTTGGGGAACATTTAAGACACAAGCCAAAATAATATTGTATCCAAAATTTTTTACCCACAGACTATTGCTGCACATTTGGACTGTTTCTAACTCCACTATTATGACCTGCTATGGGCCTGTGTGTGCCTGTATGGCTTCAGCACCTCTTGGTAACATCCTTTAATGCATTAATGTTTAACTTTCATGAAGTTCAATTTATCTATTTTCTCCTTTATCATTTATGTTTCTGGTGTCACATCTAAGAATTAAATGCCAAATCCAAAGTCAAGGAGATTTCTCCCTATATTTTTTCCTAAGAACTTCATGATTTTAGCTATTATATTTTGGTTATTGATTCATTTTGTCTCATTTTTATATGAAGTGAAGAAGGATCCAATTTCATTCTTTGGCCCATGGACATCCAGTTATCTCAGCACCCCTGGTTGAAGAGACTATTCTTTCCCCTGGATGATATTGGCAGCCTTTTGAAATGGACACAGGTATGTGGAATTGAAATGAACAGTCCCTCTTGGTTTCTCCTCCGAGGCTTCAGAGGACTCTCTAAACTGAGCCTAAAGCAAGAGCCGAGAGGCTCCTGTGCACTTCCCAGGCCTTAAATAAACCCAGACAGCAAAGGCTTTGTCCATTTTCCAGGCAGCAAGGCTGCAATCAGACAGACAGCTCCTCTGCCCTCCTCGCCATCCCAGCAGAGGACACAAGGTATCATATCCATTCAACTCTTGGGAGCAGCTCTTGGATCTCACAGTCCAGCAGCACCAGGAGGGTCTGTATTCAACACTCAGAGCCATGCACTACAGCCTCAGGTGACTTGACTGGTGGCTCATGTATCCTTCAAGCTGTTTCAAGTTTTCACCCCCTTGCTGAAATCCCTCTTACTGGCTCACTCACATGGAATTTGATATTTCCCAAAGGCAGACCATTAGTCCTGCAAGGGCCTGATACCTGGACCTAGGGCCCACAGCTTTCATCAGATCCCCAAGGGGATCCACAGAACTATGAACCCTTGAGTATACCAGGTGATTGGTTATTGGCAGATAGAATGATGATCCATAATTCCTAGGGCATTAGCCCAGCACCTACATTAATGACAGCAGAAACAACAGATGCCTTGCTATGTTCCCCAAGCTTTATTGCATCAGGACACACACAGAAAAGGACTTCGTAGCACATGAAAGGCACCATGAAGGCCATGCCCTTCCTGTTGTACTGAGACCCACAGAGGCAAACTGTTTTTGTTTTTTGTTTGTTAGTTTGTTTTTGTACCAGGGACCAAACTCATGACCTCGTGCTTGCCAGGCAGGCACTTATCCTGCTAAGCTAAATCCCAGGCCCGGACATCTTTAGCACATCTGAAATACAAAACTTATCAGAAAGTTTTTTAAAAAGCAAATGCTGCAAGCAAAATCCAACAGCTTTGGAAATCCATTCAGTCCCACTAATAGCTTCAAAAAATTAAGAGACTTCCCATCCCTCATAAATAAACACACAGTACCTGTGTCCATGCCCACTGTGGCAGAAAGACTTAAATTTTCCTTCCAGGATTATAGGTGCCCATCTTTCTGAGTATTTGGTTATCTTTCTTTTTCCAGGAAGCCTTTTTTATTTAGTTTCATCATCACAGCCACTTCTCATCACTCCTGCTCTAGCCCACCTGTCCTTCATTTGCACAATGCAGGGCTGTGAATGTAAACCTTTTTCTGCAGCCTGTAGTCATCTACTAAGCAGCCTTCTTGGAGAGAGCCCATAAGGCTGCACACATTGCAGGACTGGGGTGGGGAGATATCATTAGTGTGTAGAACATTTGCAGAGACTGACAGGAATACATATCTGACACCACTCAAGTGCAGTTTATTGAAGATTAAACAGAAATTCAAAGTGCTCAATTTAGCAGATGAGGGTCTGGGTGGTGTTATTCCCAGGAATATTTACACCATGAGTCATGACTCCTGGTGGGTAACATAATCCACAGATGAGATCAAATCTACTCACTGGATTAAACTTGTGGCAATAGGAACTAAGAGTCAGAAGCTACTGCAAGACATAGTCAGAGAGAAGACCAGAGATCAATCATATCCCGCAGTCCTGACAAAATATCATGATGCTGCCTTCATCAAGAACCATGAATTTGATACTGTCTCTACAAAAGGAGCAATGACATGCTATGGAAAGAGCATGGTCCCCAGATTCAGCCAGGCCTGAGCTGGCACAAAGGTGAGTAACTGGGGCAAGTTCTCCAGCTCTCAGAATCAGGCTCCTTTCTGCCCAATGAACGCTGATCACACCTTCCTTGCAGGATTGGATGAGAAGTAAAGGAAATGTACATGGGGTTCTTGGTGCATACTAGGTGCTTGATTATGAAAGCAACTATTAATCATAAAAAAGGGATGGATGACCAACCCAAGACAGCAGAAAATTCCTGATTCTTCTCTGCTTGCTTTGTGAATAAAGGTGCATCTGGTGGTTCTGAGAATGTGTACATGTTCTTCGTAATGGAGCCGTCTTACAAAGACCTTTCTGGTGGGACAGAAAAAAGCTTTCTAACATCTCACCTTCTGGTTAAGTGACTCCAGATTTACCCCACCATGTTTGCAAGAACAGTAAAACCTCAGATATTTGAGGACTCGACCTACCCACAGAACAAACCTATTCTCCCCTCTCTTCCCTCCTCTCTTTCTCTCTCCACATGATCACAACTTCTCAAAGCCAAGAAGGTGATTATGACTTGTGCTTCTAAAGTCTCCTGTTGCTGACGGTAGTAAGGAAAAAGAGAAGTTATAAAGTCTACCAGGATTTATTGACACAAGAGAGAGTGAACCTGTCAATCGGAACTTGAATGTAAGGTAGCCTGTGATGTCCATGTAAGATAGTCCATGATGAGTTGAGTGTATTACGGCCAGTTCTAAAATTTAGGGATGGAGGACTTAGGAATGCAGGCATCACTGGGAAGTGGCTAAGACATCCCTACTTCCAGGTGCTGAGGTGAGTGGGGAGGTGGCCTTATTGGGTAGTCGTCTTGGCTGGGGTGCTGACTGGGCCATTCTTGTCTGGAGAGTTCCTGAGGTCTCCTGCTTTGCCCCTTGGGTCTCAGTCTGCCCAGTTCGGAGGTGGCCAGCATTGATGGTTGCACTGCTGACCCTAAGGTCAGTGCTCACAGAGCTGGGGTGGTAACCATAGCCATTGCTGCTAATGATGGCTGAGGAGAAAGGGCAAGAGAAGGAAAGAGAGGTAGGTATCAACCAAAGGTGACAAAACTTATGGTAAATGCTGTCTCTGATGACACCCTTGTTAATCCCATGATAACCTTCAGCAGTGAAGAAATACAAAAAGATAACAGAGACCTTGTTGTGCACCAGACTTGTTTGTGAGGGTCCTGCCTTCCTGGTCAACCTAGAAAAGTCCCTTTTCCCAACCATCTCTCCAGATGACAGTGCCCCAGGGGAGAGACAGCAAAGAGAGGGATGGGTATAATTTCAGTCACCATTGCCAGGAGACAAAATGAAGCTAGATTCCTCTGAATCTAGAGAACCTTCACAAAGCAACAGTAGATACTCCTGGTGAAATGAGACCATGAGTGAAGGTGACATTGCTGTGTCCCAGGGTTCCTGGCTTTCCCAACCCAACCCATCTCCTTGAGGATACTCACAGATGCTCACAGAGGATGGGTTCTCACCAGACATCCTGAAAAATAGGAAATAACATAATAAAACTTAAGGGTTCTGACTTTTGTGTACATCACTTTAATCCAGGCTCACAACACAAGGTGGAGATTATAACCTTCATTTGACAGATGAAAACATAAAGACGTTACATGTGTTCCATGACCATGCAGCTACCATGTGACAAACTCAGTAATTAAATCTAGGTCTCCATGAGCTCTTTTGATGGAACCATACAGCCACCTGTGCTCACAGCTAGCATCTGACATCCCTTGCTGAGCTGCAGCTGAGTTCACCTGTCACACCACTGTTTCCCTCCCTTCTGATGTCACCAGTGCTCTTATTCCTCCTCTCCCAGCTACCAGTGGCCCCTCAGCCAGATGAGAGTACCCACAGTTCCTTCTCCCTTAGCATCACAGTGCTCCCTCCGTCCTTCACCTGAACTCTTCTTCCTCCAGCATCACGCGGTAGGTGGAGATCTCAATGTCCAGAGCCATCTTCAAACTCCTGAGCTCCTGGTACTCACGTATCATCTGGGCTAGTTTATCCTTGCCCTGATACAGGGCACCCTCCAGCTCACCCAGTTTGGCCCGAGCATCCTTGAGGGCACTGTCACCTTGCTGCTCAGCATCAGCAATAGCTGTCTCCAAGTTGGAGCACTAAAGGGCAAAGAACAAGGAGGTACAACATAGAATGATATTTAGAACATGCAGGTTACATAGCGTAACTCACTTTGCAGATGAGATCCAAGGTGTCTGTGAATAAGAGCTGCAAAGCCAACACCAGAACTTGAGGGTGCTCTGCGTTCCATTTCAGGTGAACATTTTTAAAAGCTGACATAGAAAGCGATGGAATACTTGCACTTCAGGAGGCCAGGGAAGAACTTCAGTGTTTGCAAAGTTCTCTAGTGCCTAGGGTTGGGAGCCACCAATGGTGATAGTTTCAAGTACACCAGATCCAGGAGAATTGTGTCCAAGATTCCAGCCAGACTACCCCTAAGGATCAAACAGCACACCAAGGATCCTACAGTGGTAAACTTCTGCTGTAGGCTATCTCTCCAGCAGGGAGTCCCCTGTTAGCACCAAGAGGAAGTGTGTCTAGATTCTTGTAGCACAATGCAGGATCTCCCACATCTGGCCTAAAGTGAGGAGAGAACCTTTCCCTAGAAAACAGCTACTTACAGCTACAACCTCTGAAACTGGACTCTGATGAACACCCAGGGGCACTATGATGCTAAGTTCTTGGGAGTGGGTGGGAGAAGTCTTCACAGAGTCTTAATGCCATCTCTGTGGCCCACTCCCATGTTATTTGGGAGTTGTAGAGCACAGGAGGGAGAACTGTAGATTTGGCAGTTCGGTCACTGGCAAGGTTGACCTGGTTCTTTGGGGGATCCATTGGAATCTAAACTCATCTCCCAACTGATTCACTATTGGATTTGCTGCTTTCAGGTAACATATGTATAAATGGAGATGGTCCCATGACACAGAACAGGGGAACACAAGAGCATCATCTGTTATTGTAATACTGCATCTCCAGGACCAGGCCACAACATGAGCGGAAAGGAGACCATAGAAAATCCTGATGCATGCCCCATGCATGTGCACGCGTGCACACACACACACACACACACACACACACACACAGTTTCATGGCCAGCAGGATGAGGAAATGTGAGGCCTTCTCTCCAAGAGGCACACTCAAAGGATGTAGGCCGTATTTGTTAGAGAAAAAGTCCAAGCAAGAGGACATGAGATTTAAATCCTGACTGTGTTAATGACCATCTAATGCCCCTAGACAAATCACTTCCCCTCTCCAGCCCATGTGCCATGCCTGTAAACTGGGGAATCCCGAGAATATGCTGGCATCTTTCTAACACTGGTAGGGTAAAAATGCAGGAAGTGAAAGAGAAGCTGAGGATGGCCCAGACTCCTATGCCCAGGAGGGGAGACTTGCTCCTTCCCAAAAGGTAGATCCCAATGTACAGAGGAGGAAACTGAGTCTCAGCCCTCTCCCTGGGGTCACTGCTCACCTGCCTCTTTACACTGATGATGTCACAGCGGATCTTCTGGATGAGCCGATTCAGTTCAGACATCTTGTTCCTAGTATGTTTCAGGTCATCTCCATGCTGGCCAGCTGCTAGTTGCAGCTCCTGAATCTATTTTTGCAGAAGTGAGAAGGTGGTGATGATACAAGACAAGGAGAAGTCCTGGACAGATGCTTCCACAGCTGAATGAGCCAGGGGGACCATAGCAGGAGGTGGGAGAGCCAGTACTGGGTCCCCTTCCAACTCAGACTGGGAAGTCCAGTATGTTCTCTAAGCACAATCTGTATGCTCTTCCTCTCATCTCAGCCCCTTGTCTACAATCATTCCTGGGCTAGGTAGCAAGAATTGTAGGTCATGTTTGTCAAACACACCCCAATGTAAGCAAATATCTGACATTTTATTTATCACATAGAGAAGCATCTTCTAAAGCCCCACTTCTGTCCCACAGGTAGGGGATCTAGAAGTGACATGGTAGGTGAGATCCTTGCTCTCCTCACTTGCATTCTCCTGAAGCACTTTCTTGATCAAAAGCAGACAGAGAGAAGTATCCCAAAGATACTTTCCAAAGATCCCAAAGTATCCCAGACAGAAGGAGGTATCCCAAAGATCCCAAAAATACTGCAGAGAAGTATTTTCATTCAACATATCTACAGCAGTGTCTTTCACATTCATTGGTGAAGATGGCCCTTCCAGCAAGAAAGAAGACTCATCCCATGCCCACCTTGATCTGGCACAGTGTTTCAGCCTCAGTCTTGCTCTTTCGGGCAATGTCCTCATAGTGGTTGCGGACCTCAGTGATGATGCTGTTCAGGTCCAGGTCCCGGTTATTGTCCATGGACAGGATGACAGAGGCTTCACTAGCATGAGTCTGGAGTTGGGTGATCTCCTGAGTGGAGAGATGAAGCAAATCAGGCCCAAGTTCTCCTGATTGGCCCCATCAGTCCTCTGGGCCAGTGATCCCTGGCAGAATGTATCACCAGGATACACAGGGGTAAAGCAGGGGAGTGCCCACTGGAAATGGGTCTCAGGCAGGCAGCAGGAGATGCTCAACTGGAGAAGGAAGGCATTTCCTTCAGCTCCATGGAGCCCAAGAAGCTGTGCTTCAGTAGTACATCATGGGGTCATCTTTTTCCTGCCTAAACAAATCTTTCATGGTCCAGATCAATTATGATCTATGCATGTGGCCTCCAAGGAAAAGAACCTCTGTTTCCATGGTCAAACAATACCAGGATCTTTACTTTTCCAGTCAAATGTCTTCTCTTGTATCAGCTGTAAGTCCCTCCTGTTGGCATACCCCTTTACAATTCAGGTGAAGCCCTGATGGAGAAAGACAAAAGAGTGGGGAATAGAAGGGTTCTTACCGCATCGTACAGGTACTTGAGGAACTTTATGTCTTTGTCCAGAGAGTCTACCTTGGCCTGAAGCTCCACTTTGACTGTGTAGGCTGCATCTGTATCCTGTCAAGAGGCACCAACTACCATCAGTCAACTGACTCACCTCCCATGAGCTGTCCTGCCCCTACCCCTGGCCCCAAATCCACCTGCCTTTCTGTTTTTGCCCACATAAGGAAAGATATTGATGAGCAGCCACTCAACATCAATTTTCTCTCAGACTTGCTGAGTCTTTGGGACTCCTCTTATGTTATACTTGGTGAACACCAGGCCAGGAAGGTATTGAGTCAGTCTCTTTAGATTGCACAGGAAGGTGAGGCTTAATCAGGGTATCCTAGGTCCCAGACCAGAATTCTTTTCTCATTGTTTCTGTCCATTTCCTAGGTGTGTGTCCTCCTCTCTAACTCACTAAACTAGGACCACAGTGCCACCCACCTTCAGGCACCAGCCCCCAGCTGGTGGCCTGGGCTGAAACCCTGTACAGAGTTATTTAGAATGGGGATCTAAAGAGATTTTTCTCTCCTTACCTTCTTAAGCACCACAAATTCATTCTCAGCCTCTGTGCGCCGATTAATCTCTACCTCGTATCTGTGGGTGGGGAGAGAGTGTGGCAAAAGGCTTCAGCTCCCTGGGTCTAGTGAGCTCTTCCTGCTGGCTGGGCAAGCACTCAGGCCGCAGTGCCCAGCACAGTACCCTTGGAGTGAGATCTGAGACCCAGTAGCAGGAGTCAGAAATCCCTGGCCAACCTCACTGCAATCTACTCACTACATTCTAGGAAAGTGCTCAGGTACTTTAGGGCTCCCAAACCAGTAAATGAAATGCTTAGTGGTCAATGACCAGAGGAACTTGTGCTGTCAACCAAGTAGGATGTTCTCAAAAAATAGAATGGGGCTTCCTCCATAACTAGAGCAGAGAACTTGAGCTTTTGACTCTGTAACCTACTGCTTGTTTTCCTGAAATACAGCACAGAGACCATATTGCTAGTGATCCTTTGATGGAGTGTGCTCACTTCTTCTTGTAGTCCTCCACCACGTTGTTCATGCGCCTCAGCTCTGACTCCAGTCTCATCCTGTCCCCAGACAGTGTCTCCAGTTGCTTTCTCAGGCTGCTGATGTGACCCTCATAAAAGGGCTTCAGGTTCTTCCTGCAGTTGTTCAGGTCCAGCTGTTGCAGCAGCTCCCACTTGGTGTGCAGCACCTGGTTCTGCTGCTCCAGGAAGCATACCTGGAACCCAAACCAACAGCTACCTGGAACCACATTAATGCCATCATGCCCTATGAACATGTACCACTGACTCACACAGGCTAAGAGGATTTCCTTAGTTATTTGACTGAACTTCTGATGCTTTACCCTTGTCATCTGCTATCAATGAAACCTTGTATAAGTGCTCTACTCCAATCTTCTAAAACCTCACCAAGAGGCAAACTTCACAACTGTCTTCTATTGCCTGACCTTGGTCCCAGGAGATATCCCCTTTTATGTCCTAGCTGTTTCTTTCTGCACTATGAGCCTATTCCTAAGTACTGCATCCTTCTCTCAGCACTTCCTGTTCTATGAGAGCTACTGATCTAACCAGCTGTCCTCCAGAAGCTTTCACTTCTTTCCTAAGGAAAAACTGCCACTACCCAGTTTCTTATCCTGCTGCATAAAATACTCCAAAACAGCAACACATTTTTTTATTCCTGTCTTCTACCTATCTTGCAAATCTGACCTCCCCCCTTATGATGAGGGAGCCCTTCCAGAAATCCAGCTGCACCAATATGTACATTGCCCAACCCATGCCAATGGAGCAGGGAGATTGCCTCTTCCTCCCCCTGGAGACCCACCTTGTCAATGAAGGAAGCAAACTTGTCATTCAGAGTCTTGATCTGCTCCCGCTCTTGGGCACGTACTCTTTGTATCTCAGGGTCCAGCTCCACATTGAGGGGAGCCAGGAGATTCTTGTTAACAGTTACTTGGTGAATGCCCTTAGGTGGGCACACAGATAGACACCCACAGCCAACGGCCACACTGCCAAACATGCTGCCAGCAAAGCCTCTGGCCTTGCTGCCTCCATACTCAGTGCCATGCTCAAAGCTGTGTCCTCCGGCCCAAATAGCACTGTCTGCCACATTGGAGGGAATATGCCAGTTCCCTCCAAGACTGTAGAGGCTTCTGCTGCTGAAGCCAGCCCCAGCTCTTTGGCCAGTAGCATGGTATGAAGTCACACCCCCTGTACCCTTTCTTGGTACCACTGCAGAATGCACACTGAAGTTGCCCTTGTCACCACGGGAGTTGATGTTCAGTTGTCGACCCATGATGGTATGTTGGAACTCACAGAGCTAGAGAAATGCAGTCACCCAGGGCTGTAGAGTGCAAGTCTGTAGGAGTCACAGTGCTGCCTCCTTTTATCCTTGCTGAGCCCAGGACACCGGAACAGGATGTCTCTCTCTACATTATCTCCTTCCCCGTTGAATTGCCATGGGCCAGGGACAATCTACATAAAAGAAATCTCCAAGTCCTTTGCAGCAAGAAATGTATCCTGATAGCAGGTGTAACATGCTGCCCTTGCATTCTGGACTTGTCTAATTTGGAGTTTATCTGTGTTTCCTAATTAGGGTTCTGTCATGTTATCCACTGCAGAGATCTCCTTGCTTTATTTTTCCAGTGCTGCCTCCTCTTTATTTATCAGCAAGGAGCAGGGGAAATGCATGTCATTGTTCAAAGAGGACTCATTTGAACACCTCAGGTATCTTCTCCAAAGAACCATCTCCCTGGTATAGTCTTGGATGCCAGTTACTGGGGTGCTGATGCTGGAAAATACTTGAAAAGGAAACAGCGCCTCTGGAAGATGTTCTCAAAGATTTGAATCCAGAAACAAGGTCTAGGAGATCACTTTCTGGGTCATGCCAAGGAGCACAGCTGCCCAGCAGTGGAAAGTATACAAAGAAGAGGGTAGAAATGAGCACACAACATCTGAGTATCTCCATGCAGAGATACTGCCTGCAGCTAGCAGATATATTGCCAAGAGGGCCTGGCTTGTGGTGACCTCGAAGTTGCATTTTTAACAACGAGAACTCTTTCAGGCAGCTGACCTTTCCTCCATTTGAATTTGCTCTCCAAGATAAAATTGTCTATCCTGTCCTGGAAGACTAGACAGGACTTAGACTTTAGCACATCTTTATATGTGATATATAATATATATTTATTATATTATATCACATAGAAAATATATACATATTTGAAGTTAGTCAGATATAGGAATGCTTAAGTTTCACTACTGGAATCAAATTTGTTCTGAAAAATTCCTGACCACTTCTGGGATCAGGAAACATTTCATAGCCCAGGTATTCCTGGTAGAGTACAATGTTTAAAAATTATTTCAAAAGCTGTCCTGGTAAAGGACATTGACCACTACCTAAAACCACATTAAGGAGCCCTGATCTGCTTGGATCAGGCAGAGGGGAGTAAGTGGCTGCTCCCAGTGATGGGGTGGGGGGAGAGGAGAAGGAGCAGCTGGAGAGATGGGGCAGAGCTGGAACCTGTCTCAGAGAGTGTTCCCGCCACAGGTGCTTTCCTCTCAGTCCTCTAGGCAGTGGTGGTCACCTCCTTCTCCAGGGGTCACTTCTCTGAGCCTTCTTGGCAAGGCCTGACCCCAGGGTATGAGTGGATGTAGTAAAAGTAATGACTTGTGGCTTTCAAAGCCAGACTGCAAAGGGCAACAGCAGGTAGACAGTTAATTGGGGTCATCCCTTTCCCTCGTGGCCAGTACTGGCTTTATCTCCTTTCTAACGTGAGAATGGTCTACAAATGGTGTTTTAAGTTCATTGACCTTGAGATGATGGATATATTCCCTCAGCCCCCAGCAAATATGCAGACCAATGAGAAGAACCCATGCCACAAACTAAATCCAAGGCCAGAGCTACAAAGTAACAGAAGAGCAGTGCTGGCAATGGGATGGAATTGTGCTGAGGGGAAGTGGCTAATTTTGATGAAGATTATTATGGTTTAGGACTAAACTGTTCCCCAAAAGTCTCATGTTCAGAGGTGAGATTTTTGGAAGGTCATTGGATCATGAGGGTTCTATATTCATCAGTGTACTACTCCATGAATGAGCTCACAGCTGACTATGCCTTTCAAGGTAGTGCCTGGTTAGACAAGTCTCAAATGCAAGGTAGTGCCTTTTCAAGGTGGGCCTGGGGTATGACCTGGAAGAGCTAAAGTATTCTTGTCCTTGATTCCCTCTTCTCTCTATGCTTCTTGGCCATGATGGCATGAGCAGCCTGATTTAGAGTATCAGGAGTCACAGAACTACCTACAAGTCGCAGAAGTAGTAGCAATGATGCCAGTAATAGTGAATGTCATGAGAGGCAACAGAAAAACATAACAACACCTCCCACATGCAAGGAATATTACCAAGTATTATGTGGGTTATCTAGTTTAACCTTTGCATTACTAGCTTTATTTACACTTGAGGAAATTGAGATTTAGTGATATCAAGGTACTTGTTCAAGGTCACTCAGCTAGTAAATCAGAGATGAAACTGGAGTTCAACTGCACTCAGTTTCAAAGCTCACATTCCTAACCTGAGGGATAGAGTTGAAAACTAGAAACAAAGAAGCAAGACTTCCTGGCACACAGCTTTCAGTCTCTCATTCTTACGGTCCTCTTATGCTTCAGTGTCAAGTATAGTGTAGGAGGAAGGGGAATTTGCCACAGAACTAGGGTTTGTGTCACACGATTGCTCAATATTAGGCATTTTCTAGAATTTAGGAGAAATCCAACCATAATAAGGGCTGGTAGAGGGAAGAAAGAGACTCACTTTCAGGAGGAAATGCCTTAAACCAAAAGCCCCGCGCTAGCCCTTTATAACAGGTTCCAAAGGGGAAATAAACTTTGTCCTGTTGATTGCTTCTCCAAGCCTTAGTTTTTGCACCTCCACTGCCTGGCTGAGTGTAAGCCCTAATCTAGCAGAAGAGCTGGACATTTTATGAAGGATTTCACAACACAGCATTTACACTGCATGAAAGACTGGGCCCATGAGTCTAGGGAAGATATATGGTAAGTAAAATGCAGATTCCCAGGTACCCAAGGGATGAAGGTATCCCAGGGAGCCCTGAGAAAGCTGAGTCCACTGTGCCACAGTCTGTCCCTTCTTGGTTTAGAATATCCCTGGATGGTAAGAAGCACATCTACGAAACACAAAATAGAAATCAGACCCAAATGGGACATTGTAACAATCACATATGGACACTATCAAAGTCACATCTGCTTGGTTCAAAGATGGATAATGAAGGTCACTTTCTCTAGCATATTGGCCTTGATAGAGAGAGGATGATGCTTGAGGGATTCTTAACTGACTCTTGGGTCATGAGACCTAGGGACAAATCACAGCACTTTAAAGCTGGACGGGACCTAACACCAGCTCTCTGCTTTCCCTTAGAAAATGAACTGGAAGCGGAATTTTGACTCTTCCACCCATCTGGACTAGTAAGAAAAGAGCCTGCTTTTCTCCCCTCTAGCCCAAAGACATCCAGTTACACAAGAGTTTACTGCTTTCTTCTGGTTCTTTCCATGCCCCCTCCAAATTCTTCATTTCCCTGACATGAACTGAAGCGTCAGGAAGACTCACAGAGGTGGGGATGGGGTGCTGCGGTGGTCCGCCTATGGACACAGAAGTGGAAGGTCTGGAGTGAGAGAGGATGCGGAGACAGTGAAATAGATTCTGGGTTAATAACAAGGGGAATGGGCAACTCTGGGCACAGTGCATGCACCCCAGAGAAGGTGGTTGATAGTATCTCAATACCACCAAGCTGAGGGCTTGAACAGGACTTCAGACTTTAGTGCTACTACCTGGACAGTTCTAGGGTGGTGATCACCTCAGCATCACAATCATATTGGAGAGAGCAGAGTATCAAGTTTCTCAGTCATTCTTAAGGACCACGGAAGTCACATCTCTCCAGGACTGTCAAAAGCAAATGCTCAAGCAATTCCCTAGCGTTTCTCCACCTTCCTCACCCCCCACATTCCCTGGATTAATATGAATTCTTCTGCTTATTCAGAAAGCAGATAGCTGGTGGCATCAATTTAAATTTAGTTCCACCATACTTACTAAATGTCTGCTCCTTACAAGAATGATACTGAGTGGCATCCCAGACAGAAGGCCACTACAGTCAAGATGCCTATTTCTTGATGCCATGTTAGTGTAAAACATATTGTGTGCAGAGAGTCTTTCTTTATGACAGTGTCCCAGAGGGTGTCAGTGACCCGAACCCTGGCAGTTTTCCTTAACTGTTCATCTTACGGAACTTCCAGCAGCACTCCTGGGGTAAGCAAACAGCATCATCAAGGCAAGGGCCTGCCCTGCCCTCCCCTCCCAGCATTAGCATGTCCTTCCTCCTCTGTACAGCCCAGCTCAGCTCTACATGTCCCACCTTGCCTGTACAGCACCTTGGTTTCAATGATGAAGAGGTGCAGACATAGCCCTCTGTCATGGTGCAAGGCTAGATGGAGTCCCATTTGCCCCTCACTATATGCTCATGCTAGACACCACTGGCATGTACCTCCAGGCAGCCCCTGGCCAAACCCCAGGGACAGTGTTGTATTATGTGGAGGAGTTGGAGCCTCTGGTCAGAATTCCTTCTGCTGCCCAAAGAGGGTCATCAGCATCTCCTGGCTTCCCTGAGCTCTCATCCATGTCTACACAGCAGCTTGAGCTCTGTTTTTGAGTCCCCGGTCTTCTTCTCCCTGAGGCTCTAGAGGAAAATGAGGTCCCCTGGGCCCAGCTCACCAGTGTTTTGTCTATCAGGAAGCCCACCTGCTCAGCCTGCCCCCAGCTTAGAGTCTGGACAAGCTTCATTTTCCCAGGCTGAGTGTCCTTTGCCTTCAGCGAACCCAGGCCTGGCCCTCACCACATTCAACATTCGTTTCTCTCGTCCTACTCACGCTCTTACTCCCACAGCCTTTGTGACTAGACAGGCCTCTGGCCCTCACTGTACCCAACCACTCTTCAGTTTTCTCCATTAAAAGAGCTCCTCTTTTTAAAAGAAAAGCTCTCTGAACCTTTTGCAGCTCCACCCACCACCTACCCAGTCATCACAAGTTTCTCCCTCTCAGCTTGAGCACGCTCAGGTATTTCTAGGCAAGCACTGTCTTGCTGGGGGAACATGAGATTTCTTCCTTCACCCATTTCAAAACACCACCTGGTCCCGGGTCAGGTATTATTTCATTTGTTTCCTTAATTTGGAACCCTAGCCCCACCCCCATTCACTCTGGAAAAAAGTGTGAAAGATATAGTCTGACCCCCAATCTTCTTTAGTGTGTGAGATTCTGTCTCAAAGGAGAACAGAAAAGCTGAGGAGGTGGGGG